AATAAACTTTCATAATTTTAATTTTCATCTTATTCCTACTTTCATGGGAATGAATAGCAATGATGTTCATGTTTAACTGTCTGTAATAATTAAGAATGATTAAGAAACCCTACATCCACGTACAGTATTGCAGATTAGGCACCCACATATCATATTCACATTCGGCGGATTACGTTTATCATCAAAATCGTATCAGTAGCTAAGTAGATTTTAATTTCATGTGATTAGTTCCGCTTATGAATTAAAATGAAACCAGGAGAAATGTTGATTAACAGTGGTATGCATTCATTATAACTAAATATGCATTAGGATTTAACAGTGATGTGGGGAACAGTTGACATACCTGAATATGAATAACTGAAATGACATAGGTTATCAATAATGACTATATATATATGTGCAGTTTAAGGTCAAAGGTCATTTGTTTTTACAGTCAATAACACATTAAGAATGGGTGGTGTAATAATGGACTGGAGTTCACAGACAGATAAGTGGTGTGAAAATCTTATAGCTTATAAATGATCCGTGGATTTAAGAACTGAAAACTTGGGTTACGTAATAATTGATTACAATTTGAAGAGGTCACATAATTACAGAGGATTAAGTGAGCAGATGTAAGTGACAAGGTGCTGGAGTAAATGGGTAACTAAATTTTAAAAGTGAAATGAATTATTACATAATCCATCTCATTACTTGTTCATTCCATGGATTATAAGGAGTTCATATTATTCTCTATCTATATTTGTTCTAGCGTCATATCGACTATTAATAAATACGGACACGGTTTATAAAGTAAGACACCGAGTGTAGTTGCTATATTTATATTTCACTAATTCATTAGTTGAATAAAAATGTTACTAGGCAATACGGAACGCAGTTAACGTAAACTTGTAAACCGGTTTTTAACATGGTCTTCCATAATCACAAATTCCATAAGTTGTAGACCGGCGTAAACATCATCACGAAGCTTTGACGACTTTAATGGATTCATACAATTCTGAAAAACAATAAATCAGTCGTGAAATAAAGAATTAGACTTAGTTATCAGTATCACATTCAAATAGCAGGTTACAGAATGTACCTATAAGTCTCTTATTTGCAGACAGCGCTAATCATTAGTGATTTCTATTTCCTTTAATAAAAATTAATATGTAATCTTTACAACACACATATCAGTGTTATTTACAGATTGCTGAAGTTAGTTTCGTCACAACATACAAGCGTAGTCTGACTTATGAAGAAAATGTAATTAATTAATGTGGCATAAAGGAGATATGAAAACAAGGAACTTGTGATTCTGCTTCCATTGCTCATTCACTTTTCGTCACGTTGTCTGCATGAATTACTTTGGACGAGTCAGTCTGTAATGCAGTAGGAATTCATGAATTAACTCACTAATAGTTGTTTTTTATTCAAACCTGTGTCGTAACAAGCACTGGGAATTTATTCAGTGTCTAACCCTTGTAGTATTTCGTCTATACATCTGCTATTAGCAAGAGAAATTGGTAAGCACCGTTTAGATATTACTCGACAACATGCATCATAACTTTGTTCACATTTTCGTCTGCGATTGTGCATTTCGTTTACAGAAAATTATTCGTCAACCCTATGACAGACACATCATAATTCAGTATTAAGTACGACATGCTTTTGTCACCATGCTCAGAAGAGACACCCATCGTTTTACTTATGAAGATTTTGTGCCTATTTAATGTGGTGTTATACACTGTTCCTGTATACGTTCAGAAAGCCGGTAAAAAAGACTATCAACGTCAATTGTTACTCACATGATTTTTTTCTGATACGCTACACAATAATATGTCACTTCAGTACAAAACAATGCTACCTATAGTCCAAATAACCTTTTATGGCTAAATATAAACAATTTATATAACATTTATATAACTAGATTCTGAAGTCGTTCTAGCTCTTGTTCAACCACTGGGAGAGCAGCATATGGTACGGGTCTTCTAGGTCGAAAAACGGGAGTAGCTGCAGGCTTTAGGGTTAAAACTGCTTTGGCCTTCGTACATTCCCCCAATCCTTCTTTAAACACGTTTTGGTGTCTTTGTAGCATGGCATTTTTCTGGCTCCACTCTGAGGTGTTTTCAGTACTGACTCGTCTGCAGATACTGTTAAGAGAATGGTCTGCTAGTTTAAGTGTTTCTATAAGATCTAACCCCATTAAGTCGAGTGCTGGCTTCTTTGTAAGATATACTGTTGCATTTGTTGTTACAGTGCCTTTAGAAACAGTGCATGGCACTTATCCAACAATATTTAACTTCCTCTCAGAGGCACTGTGTCCCAGCTGTGTCGTTGGGAAAACTGTGGGTCTTCCAATGTTCTTCCATGTTTCTGGGCTGATTAGAGTAATATCAGAAGCTGTGTCAAGCTGAAGGCGAGTACGGTGTTTATTAATATTCAAGGTTACGTACTTTCTTTGGCGGCAACTTCGTGCTTTGTTATGTGATACCAATATTTTGTTGGCTGGAGCACTATATTTGTATTTCTTTGAGTAAGGTTTCAAGGAATGTTGTTTATAGTTTCTTCTCCTGCAGAGGTTTTCTTTATGCCCCTTCCGATGACATTTGCTGCAACGATGTTCTTTATATGGTCAAAACCTCTTATAGTGCCAACCTCCACATGCACAGCATGGAGATGATGGTTTGTCGCTGTTATTACGATAATTATGTGTGCTGAAACCTTGAAAGACTTTTTTCTCGACTGCATTGACGTTATGGAAACAGTTACCGTTTTCTACCATTGAGGTATCATGCTTCGAGTTTACTAACCTTTGACACTCGGTAGTCACTTCCTATAGGGTCATGTTAGGGCAGTGTTCGAGTTTGCTTAGGATTCTGTTTCGGATATTGGCATCCTCGGGTGAACGCAGGCTGCAGATAAATACTAAGCATTTAAACTGATCTTCAGACATGGACGACAATCTGAACCTCTCACATTCTCGGTTCACAGTTCCTGCATGCTTCACCAAGTCACCTCCTGGTTCTTTCGTTAACTTTAAGCACTGGTAACGGATATTGAATAGAGATGATTGTTCTCCGAAGATTTGGGACAGGGTTTTGACTGTATAATCAAAACCAAAATCTCGTGAATTCTTCGGAAGAATGAAGTTGCTATAGCGTTCATGTTCCATAGTCTCAAGTATTCAAAGAAGTATTCTGACTTTTGAAGCATCATTCAGTTTTCAAAGATCAATATAAAACAAATCTTCATACTTCTTAAGCCGCGACTCGAAAGTTACACCTGCTGCACCATCAAAATTAAATCTATGGATGGCGTTAATGACTGAATCAGTATGTGGTACTTGTGATTCACCGGAAGCAGGGTTTTGCTGGGACAGGCAGAATTTCTGCATCAGGGTTTCAGTGATTCTAATTTGGGACTCTTCAGACCTCTTTTCTTGAAGCACCATATAGGCTTCTAATTGCTCCAAGGCAATATTCATCGTAGTTTTCATCCCCATCGCCACTGATACGTCTTGGCGATGAAACGCTATATACGATTCCTAAGCTATTCCGGTAATCCGCAGTCTAGAACTACACAGCGACTTGAACACCAGAGAGAAGACACAAGTATGAGAGAAAAATACTTTATCCCAAGGTTCATTTTTGTACAGAAAATCATAGGTATTTATAGATGTTGGCGTCTGTTAAATCAACATCATATTTCAGCCAATCCGTTAACGACATATTATGCTACCGATCAATAGTAGCACGCCACGTTGGAATTCTCGAATGTTCCATCATACCCTGATTGGCTAGGACCCTTTGGCTCCTTCTGGGCCCCTGGAGGCTCCGTTGAAGCTCTCCGGAAGCCAACTCAACACTTCGATGGGGCTATCCACGTAATGCTATGACGGCGAGGTGTGACTGTGACGTTATCTGGTTCGTCACATCATTCCCGTCTAACTCAATCAGGCTTTCAATCATTCGACGTAGATCATCTACGCTGATGATTTACAGAAATAAATAGAACAACACATATAAGCGAACAATTGCTTTCAATTAGATCGTCATCAGGCTTTACTCTGATATACATGGATATTTATACGAAAATAAGTAGGTACAGCATGGGGAAAATGCCTTTATCTGTAGTCTGGTCTTACAAGGATCTTGTGGTGACAGAGTCATGCTCTTAAGACCACGGTCCATTTCCCGGGGGCTCGCAGATAGGGGGTTTAGAACCCTCTGAGATTTAAGACGGACATTCATCAAGTTAAATACTACCATGTTCACTACAGTATGCAGAATCTTGTTGAGAACTAAGCTTGAATATTGCGTTCAAGCTGCAAGCCCCAGTTTGGAAGGTAACATACAGAGGGCAGCTACCTGTACAGTTGCAGAAATCCGAAGTTTTCCATACAAAGAGCGTCTCGGAAAGCTAGACCTCCTTACGCCGTCCAATCGCAGATTAAGAAGTGATCTGATTTTAATGTATAGAATACTAAGAAATGATTTCGGACCTAACATATCCTCTCCTTTTCTTCCCACCAGATCAAAACATCTCAAAGGACATAGCCGACGACTAGGAAAGTCGATAACGAACAAAATACCCGTGACATACAGGTTTCCACACCGAGTTATCAATTCTTGGGACATGTTGCTCGAAGTAGTAGTGTCTGCACCATCAATTGACACATTCAAGAGAAAACTAAGCACCCACAGAAGCATACTAGAAAGGGAATAAAACAGGCCATAGGCCTTCTGTCATTACTACCGAAAACAGAATCTGATGTTCGAATCGCTGAAATTCAGTAAGGAGTTTTCCGGAAAGTTGCGAGTTGGACAGGGTGGTTTCAAAACATCTAAATCAAGAAAATCAACAACAGTTAGTCCAGTTTTTCACGAGATTGTATAAGGATTCGGACTATTGCTATAACTAATCTACGTTCGTGCAAGCAAACAGAATTTGTTCGTATCGATAATGTCTATTCAAATTGTAGACTCTAGAAACGCGCACTAACTAAAACGCTGAAGGTTGTCTGAAGTAGTGTGCGCATTCTCGTGAGTCACGTATTTCTCTGTCGCTTATTAGTTAATTGGTTTTAAAATCAACACTGAAAGCTATGGTACTTAAAACATCTACTCAGCCACTCTCAACTGGTACTGTTGTTGTAAACATCTTTTATTCATCAGACGTGTTTTGGCTGAACACAATTCAAGATTTAAAGTCCGTGTTCCAATATCCTGGCGTACAATTTTATTTTGTTGGTCCTCAAATCCACTCTGGCATCAGGTTCTTTTGTTTTAATAACGAGCGATAATGTCTCGTAAATTACAATCTCTTCGAGTTTATTTTACTGTCAGCACAACTTTGAAGTTTGTGTTAGTATTTCACTCTAGTTGTGAGGTTTGGTGGTAGAAAGCAACCAGTTTATAGTTGCTATGCGCGTGTGACCGTAGCAGTCATGGGACATGTCCCAAATTTTTGAATCCAAATAAGATTGTGTATGAGCTGCGCTGGAAGTGGATTCAGTGACGTTTAGCCTAACAGGATCATCACCTAAAAATGTGCTGTTATGGAATCTTCCTATTTTAAGAAGAGAGATCGTAATCGTTTTCTGTTTCTATTTCCTTATATGGTCGGCGAGCGACGGGCTTTTATGAAAATAAACTCGACCTCATAATTTTGCTGCCGTCCTATAGTATTATCCTCTTTACTTCTTGAATATCATCTTGGGTGCCGATGTTGTTTTTTCCTCTCAATTTACGCTCCTGATCAGCGTTATTTGAGGACTTTGTTGTCTATGAGAAGCACCTTCGTGGTGTCATACTTATTCATAAGTTGTAATACAACTTAAATACGATTGGTTAGACACGTAATTAAATCCACTCTATGTTCTTTACGTAATAGGTCCATCACTTTTTCTACTCATACGCCTATTTCTTACTTTGGTGTTACTTATTTGCCATTGTTTTTTGTGATATCACGATTCGCCCCAACTCAAACTGGTGCACTTTTGTACAGGATTTAGTGTTGCGATGGTTGTCTGTTACCATCTTCGCAACTAATCTCATGCCTAAAATGTGGAGAAAGCTAAAGGTAACCCCAATAACTAGGAAAGTATCAGGCTATACGAATGTGAAATTTAGACCCATAACGATAATTTCACCTTTCCTCAAGTCAGTAGAAACATTATTGCTACTCTCACTTCAACTTGCACTAGTAAAACCCATCGGTCTGTGTCAGTTTTCTTACAAATGCAAAAGGAGCACCTTAGATACTGTTGTTGTTCTGAGTCATAATATAATGTTCAGTTTAGAAAGGGATAACAAGTACGTTCGATGCTCTTTTCTGGACTATACCCCCTGCCTTTGACTGTATTCCAAGACAACTACTTAACAAGTTAACCAACGTCAACACTGACAGTTTGACAGTCAACTGGATATATTCCTACTCCTCTGGAAGGGAACAGTACACTGTTTGGATGGAAGTTTAGACGTTCCTACTCTCTCGTGGAGATGTGTCACAAATAGCTATTCTTTTCCTTCTGTTTTTCTTGTTTATTCTACATGATCTGCCATCTTCCACAGAAAACGTTTTTGTTAAACATGTGGGCGGTCGTGCTGTATGTATGGCGATTTATCCCTCTTTACATCCGCCTGAAATGAATGAGTTCTTGTCTCATATTGAGTGGTGGTCTGTTGATAATGGTCTCACATTTGATCTGTTTAAATATCAAACTGTTAGCCTTTGCCTGAGGCACGAATGGCACCTAAACACCCCGTTGGAATTCCATTAAGTCTGTACTATTGGAGACTCCTTGATAAACACTGACATGCCATTTATTCTGGTGTAAATTTTTCCTCTGATCTCTCTTGTTGTTCTCATGTTTTGTCATGGAAGAAAGTTTTCCGTCTAGCTTACTACATAAAGAGGCTACATGATTTCGGGATTATTCGACATTTGTCCTTACAATTTTTCAATTCTTGCATATTACCTATTATTCTTTACTGTTCTGCATTATTCTTTCTGGGCTTTTGAAAAACACTACTGTATTGCTGGGAGTACTGAAGACAGTTAGCAGGGTGTGTGCTGAGTCTTTTGAGGTTATTATTATTATGGTTGTGGATAGACATCCAAAATCTTGCAAACTCCTGGCAGTTTTCATCTTATCAGATGCTAACTATCCACTTCATTCGTATCTTTTTTCTTGTGTTTATTCTGGTAAAACGAGATGTCAGTACATCAGAATGCATGCACGCAAGCAAAGATGTGATGGCTCTAAAATACCTTATCTAGCAAACATGTGTGACGAACAGGTTGTTAGAGTTGATCTAGTCAACAACTTGGATTCTCAAATATGTTTCTAATTAAAAAGTTGTACAGATTCAAATCACCTTAAACACATTTCGTTAAATTCTGGGTAGTCTACTGTTATAACTCTGTTTTCTACGGTTAATGACCCAGCTATTCCTATTGCTTAGTATTCTCGGACACCGATTCACTCGACAAGTCCCCAAATCAGAACACGGTTGAACAGGGAAAAGATTATATTCCAAATAGCAAGTCAGAAGCCAGTAGGAAGCACAATAGGGGAAAACGTCGGTATATTTATAGTTTTTACATAAGAAGAATCCAGAATATTCTCCAACTATCGACTAGCGCTGATTGGATAAGAATTAGCCAATCAGCGTGCACCAAAGCAATCATGCATTGAGCATGCTTTAATCTAGTCTATGTCCCGCTAACACCTCCCCTCTGAGCAGATTCGTAGGATCTGGTGCTAGGGTCCAACTGCAACTGAGTGACTGGCTTGTGCTTTCGATTAGTCCATCGTCTAGGCAATGAAGAATTATCACTTTTTCCTTGCACAGAGACTGACATGTCTGTTCCCGGCGTTTTGATTTTTCTTAAAAAAAAGTATGCATAACTTTTAATTCTCCAACATTCTCCTCCTCCTCGAAATAATGTTGGGTCCTTATGGCTCCAAATTATAACTAGTAGGACTTTATTTAAACCATGTTTCTCGTATTGACTGGAGAATCCACTAAAAATGACTAGATGATGATGAACAACCTTTGATCTGAGTTCATTATTTTCAAATTCATTATGAATCTCGTTAGCTGATAACGAGTCATTAAGAAAGTCAACGTCTAACAGAATTAGATTAGATTTTTGGCCATCATTCGACTCAGCTGACATATTTCCCTCATTGTTATAAGAAGGTTCATCAAAATCATATGCATTATTCTGAGAATCAATATCTGGTACACTGTCATTAGAAATGGGATAAGTTGACTTAATATAAAATTCTGTCTTCCGGTGATTTTGAGTAACATCTGGTACAATTTGGTTCATCGTGTTGCTCCAGTTATTTTCTGAATACGAGTCACCATAGCTTTCTCGACTAATAGCACGTGGACCACAATTTTGTTCGAGCTGACGTTTATTTTCGCAGCTAGACAGTACCAGTAGTGTTTCTGTTATAATTCTCTGGTTTCTTACGGTTAATGACCCAGCTATTCCTATTGCTTAGTATTCTCGGACACCGATTCACTCGACAAGTCCCCAAATCAGAACACGGTTGAACAGGAAAGAGATTATATTCCAAATAGCAAGTCAGAAGCCAGTAGGAAGCACAATAGGGGAAAACGTCGGTATATTTATAGTTTTTACATAAGAAGAATCCAGAATATTCTCCAATTATCGACTAGCGCTGATTGGATAAGAATTAGCCAATCAGCGTGCACCAAAGCAATCATGCATTGAGCATGCTTTAGTCTAGTCTATGTCCCGCTAACACCTCCCCTCTGAGCAGATTCGTAGGATCTGGTGCTAGGGTCCAACTGCAACTGAGTGACTGGCTTGTGCTTTCGATTAGTCCATCGTCTAGGCAATGAAGAATTATCACTTTTTCCTTGCACAGAGACTGACATGTCTGTTCCCGGCGTTTTGATTTTTCTTAAAAAAAAGTATGCATAACTTTTAATTCTCCAACATTCTCCTCCTCCTCGAAATAATGTTGGGTCCTTATGGCTCCAAATTATAACTAGTAGGACTTTATTTAAACCATGTTTCTCGTATTGACTGGAGAATCCACTAAAAATGACTAGATGATGATGAACAACCTTTGATCTGAGTTCATTATTTTCAAATTCATTATGAATCTCGTTAGCTGATAACGAGTCATTAAGAAAGTCAACGCCTAACAGAATTAGATTAGATTTTTGGCCATCATTCGACTCAGCTGACATATTTCCCTCATTGTTATAAGAAGGTTCATCAAAATCATATGCATTATTCTGAGAATCAATATCTGGTACACTGTCATTAGAAATGGGATAAGTTGACTCAATATAAAATTCTGTCTTCCGGTGATTTTGAGTAACATCTGGTACAATTTGGTTCATCGTGTTGCTCCAGTTATTTTCTGAATACGAGTCACCATAGCTTTCTCGACTAATAGCACGTGGACCACAATTTTGTTCGAGCTGACGTTTATTTTCGCAGCTAGACAGTACCAGTAGTGTTTCATTTGATTCTGGACTCCGGGCTTCATCTACAGGACCTGACTCCTGATCATCTGGTATTGTCACAACTTCATGTGCATTCAGCACAGTATTTTCTTGCTGTGAGCCGGACACGTTACAAATATTACGTTCTGATTCAGGTATAAAGGGATTTGAACCCTCCACTAGATACGCTTCTGAAATGTCTGTTACTGCATCATAAACAGATTTCTTATTTTCTGGTCGAGTGAAAAGTGTGTTGAATAGTTGTTGTTGCAAGGCTAACAACTTCTGCTGGTGCTGTAATATTAACCGCAACTGTTCTAAAGAAATCGCCATTTTTCTTTAGTTTTTCCCCGTCGCCACTGTTATAATCTCTCTGATTTCTTACGGTTAATGACCCAGCTATTCCTATTGCTTAGTATTCTCGGACACCGATTCACTCGACAAGTCCCCAAATCAGAACACGGTTGAACAGGAAAGAGATTATATTCCAAATAGCAAGTCAGAAGCCAGTAGGAAGCACAATAGGGGAAAACGTCGGTATATTTATAGTTTTTACATAAGAAGAATCCAGAATATTCTCCAATTATCGACTAGCGCTGATTGGATAAGAATTAGCCAATCAGCGTGCACCAAAGCAATCATGCATTGAGCATGCTTTAGTCTAGTCTATGTCCCGCTAACAGTTTCATTTGATTCTGGACTCCGGGCTTCATCTACAGGACCTGGCTCCTGATCATCTGGTATTGTCACAACTTCATGTGCATTCAGCACAGTATTTTCTTGCTGTGAGCCGGACACGTTACAAATATTACGTTCTGATTCAGGTATAAAGGGATTTGAACCCTCCACTAGATATGCTTCTGAAATGTCTGTTACTGCATCATAAACAGATTTCTTATTTTCTGGTCGAGTGAAAAGTGTGTTCAATAGTTGTTGTTGCAAGGCTAACAACTTCTGCTGGTGCTGTAATATTAACCGCAACTGTTCTAAAGAAATCGCCATTTTTCTTTAATTTTTCCCCGTCGCCACTGTTATACTCTGGTTCTTACGGTTAATGACCCAGCTATTCCTATTGCTTAGTATTCTCGGACACCGATTCACTCGACAAGTCCCCAAATCAGAACACGGTTGAACAGGGAAAAGATTATATTCCAAATAGCAAGTCAGAAGCCAGTAGGAAGCACAATAGGGGAAAACGTCGGTATATTTATAGTTTTTACATAAGAAGAATCCAGAATATTCTCCAACTATCGACTAGCGCTGATTGGATAAGAATTAGCCAATCAGCGTGCACCAAAGCAATCATGCATTGAGCATGCTTTAATCTAGTCTATGTCCCGCTAACATCTACCTACTTAACTTATGTATACATGTATGTGGTTATCAGTCTCTTTCACTTTGCTTTCTTTTTTGTAAAATAAACTTGTTGAAATACCTTGTGTTGAGAATTCTACATTATACCAAAAATGTAGTATTGAATAAAGCCATTGATAATGGTAATAATAATCAGTTAACTGACAATAAATGGAGCTGATAGTGATTAACAGAGAGGAAATGCTCAAGGACAATGAGTTGTGAGTGTTTGTAAAATTTCTTAAGGAATGTTGATACAGGACTGCCTAGTCGACTGACCAGATGTTATTTCCTCTTACTAGTCTCAGTTACTTCAACCCTTTGGTCGCATATTAAAATTTATTCATCGTACTTAATATCAGGTATCGCTAATTTCTACGAATTATCTAAAACCTCTTGAAAATGGTTAGTCTAATGTCTTACTCAAATTTTTCCAGTGATGTAAATGGGCAAACCAGCAAATCAACAATATAGTCCAATTTATTTCTCTTCATAGATTTTGTATGAAAAAGCATCTTTTTTCAGCAGGTGAAATTAAACTTGTTTCAGAACAGCCAAAATATATTATCTATCTCGAATGGAAATCAAAGTTTCCAACTCAATGCTAACTGGTTTTATTATTATTATTATTATTATTATTATTATTATTATTATTATTATTATTATTATTATTATTATTATTATTATTATTATTATTATCTCCTGAGACAAGTCTCAATCACCAGTCTCTCCAGGATTTAAGAAGTGAAGTTCTTCAATAGAGTAACAGTCATTCTTATTGTTGTGTATGGGACATTTTATATTTCAGTACTGTATTTCTTCATTTAGATTTCATTAACCACTACTATAACTGCTTAATTTTTACTTGTGAAGTATTTGTCGAGTGGAGGTTTATGTAGTTTTCGTTGCTCTATAAATTATATGTGGGGTAGTTACACTACTCGACCGTTGAGACCAAAGTTTATGGAATAAGATGTAGTGTTTAGTAGTTGTGGTTGTAGTACTTTCCACTTGGCGTTTTGTCTGATAAGCCACTTCTCTGTTACTCTTTGAATTTTATAGCATAGGAAGTGTAATCGCGGTAGAGAAGTGCACATGATTTAGATTCTGTTTTTCAGAATATTTATATTTGTAAGTTTTAGGCTGGACAATATGTCAGGTAGAATAATGTCACTAATTTTTCAAAATTATTATAACCATTTATTACTGATGAATGTCATATTCAGTTTTAATCTCTAACCATATTCATTGAATAAATCTAGGCGGTGATTATTATTGTGATTCTATCTCGGAAACTGTTTAATACACCTTTGTTTAGTTTATTATTTTGCCCAAATAGATGTCGGTTTTGCACAACTGGAACAAATTTATCTGCAACAAGTCTTAGTATCATTTACTATTTTTATTTTATGGACCCATCAGTCATCGTTCTTGAGATTCTAAAGTATTCATACCAGTAATCAATAGAGTTAGAATTATTTTTATTAACATTTATATTGTCATAAATAATAAGGATTAAAAATTTGATTAACTGTTTGATATTAATTGATTTTTCGCTTCAAACCTGATCAACTGACATTAAATTCCTACACTTCTTAAGTGAAGTGATTTGTTGTTTATTTTAAAAATCAATAGTTAACAGTTTTTCAGTGTTTGTGTACAATAAAAATCACACTTTTCGTATTTCCTATTTACATATTTGTAGGCAAGTCTTTTTTCTAGAATTTTCAATGGACAGTGATTATAAAAGCTTAATACCTCTGAAAATGATAAAACATCTTTCTTAGCCTACAACATACAAATTAGTTTTCAGAGCATTTTATTATAATAGTTATTGATTAGTCCACATTTTTCAGTTCCTGAACTGAAACTCTTGTGTGTTCTTCATAGATCGTTTATCTTATAGTATAATACTTTTCTCAAAAATCATAATACGATCCCACAACGATTTTTTAAATTATTGATATAAAACCAAAAACAAGCCAGTTCTGTTGACGAGATTTTCAAGATTTTATCCAAAAATGTTACCTTAAAGATTAGTTGCACTTAATATTTTACATATCGTAAAACTCTGTAGATTCATTTATTTACGGTACAGTTTTCACCAAAATTATGGGTCTAGTTCCTATAAAAGTGTGTATTTTGATACCGAGTTGTTCAAAGGAGTTACTTTTAAGGCAATCTATTGTGTATAAGGAGTAAAGAGGACCAATTTCTCTGCTTGTATTTCATCAGAGATTTATGTTGTTGGTTAGTAGCTTGCCAACTTATGCGAACTATGTGAACTTATTATTGTAATCCAACTTGAGAACAAGATCATGTGCTCTGTGTTAGATTAAATTTGTTTAAAGAATAGTTATACTATTTGACTTTTCAAACCGAAACTTCACGAATATAAAAGGCTATTTTACCTATATAAGTCACTTGTAACCCAGTTGAGGTATGTCTGCCTATCATAAAGCACATATACTAAGCCGAAGCTCGTTCTGCTTTGCCCTATAGATGTAAAACATGTACTTTGGAGTTAGAGGACATGGGTAGGTTACTAGTATTTGATCAAGGCTCAACATTTATTCATGGAGTTTTTGGTCATTAGTCTAAGCTGTGTCGACAGATCCCGAATGTCTGGTTAGTGTTCACTGAATTATAGTGATCAATACTTGAAAACTTAAAATGACATGGCTTGAAATCGTTTTGTGTGACGTACTTATTTTTCTATCGTATTCTAGGTCTTCGATTTCAGTTTTATTACGCGCTTAACATTTTCAAGTCTCATTAGTTCTTTCTGAACCATAATTTGTACGTTTAGTCATTTTCACTAGCATAAACATTCTTTTTTACTCCTTTGCTATAGATTTTAGTAACTTTCCATTTCTATGCTAATGTGGCGTGAGAACTTGCAGCGACGCGAATTTTCCTTAGTTTATACCTTATTTATGACCAATTCATTTAACTGCTTCTCTTAGATAGTAATGCAGTTGTTAGGAAACGGGTACTAGGTAAGGATGGCAAATCAATTGATGACGTAGTGAAACTTCATCAGTTGAGATAACTGGGACATGTGTTACGTATGCCCAACCACCGACTGCCTCGATGTGCGATGTTTTGTTGTATAGGAGTAGATTGGAAGAAAGCTAGGGGCGACCAGACCAAAACATGGCACAAGTCCATGAAGTCACTGACAAGTAGACTAAGTCATACTGGTAGGTGTAGATTACCTGGTTGGGGACCGCGAGATGATAGCAACCGATGGTTAGAGACCCTAAATGACATGGCTCAAAATCGTTTGCAATGGCTCAGGTGCATCCACTCTTTGTGTTCTCCCAAATTCTAATCTTCTGAATTCTTCATGTCCCTTTCTTTTTTCTCTTTCGAAATTTATTTCACTGTATTATACTCCTTGAATAACATCTTCAAACCCTAATTTTTCTGATTACAGCTTATAATTTTACTACATCTAGCACTACGGGATTTGAATCGACCACTGCATCTCTGTGCTAATGTGATGTGGCAACTCGAACTGATGTGCATACGTACGAAGTTCTACGTTGTTACTGACTGACTGCTTCTCTTAGATAGTCAGATATTGTCATAACTAACAAAAAGCTTACATATACTAGAAGTCTTAGATTTCTTCTATTTTCTTTAAACTTTGAATATTATTGCTCGTTAAAAGTTCATCCATTAGTTCTTGCCGTTCATAGACTTAGAATATGTATACAGGAAGAAAAAAATTCGTGTTAAATGACTCAGTTACTCTGATCATTTTACATTTGAAGGCTATCAATGAATAGGGTAAGTTACTAAATTCAATCCTATTAATAATGATCGCTCAACGACAGTACGTCGTGCTGCATTATCGATCGGTTAACACTCTGTCCACTCTAAAGATCGGAATTTTATGTTACAAACAATAAAAATAATGCCCCCCCAAATGCCCTGGTACGGCCGAGAGTGGGGAGAGTCCGCTCTCCCTCTCCAAATGCTCTTACATGGCCACGCGTATATAGCCTCTGCCAGGGAAGTCCTACTCACTGCCTTCTCGTGGTGGGGGTGTTGTTTACGAAATTGAGAGGACAAAAAGCGAGTGTCCGGCTCTTTAACCGGGTTGGCGGATTTGAAGAGTCCACCTAGGAGAGTTGGAAAACCCTGATTCCAAACCAATGGTGCATATGGGTTCCAGAATTCTGAAGGAACAAATGGCGTATGAACCAATTATTGGTCATCGGCTACCATGGGTCTGCATCTCCCTACGTTGCTCCATTACCTTGTGGATCAGACCTTCAGGTCGAAGGCTCCGGGTGTGGCCTCCTAAAAAAACCACCTGCTTCAGTTTGGGCACCCGAGCAGTACCACAGCCCACACACAAATCAAGTGACTTGTGTAGTGAATATGTATTCGGTGTCCCTTTGTACAAATATTTGTGTTCAAATAAATAAATAAAATAATATCACTAATAGTTATCAATCAACCTTCACAAGAAAATACCACTGAACAATTATTTATGTATTTGTTGCATTCTGTTAGCTGAACAGCTAATTTTGGAATTTACTTTTTTCTGGTTCAACTGTATCTCATCTGTTGATTATAGATAGCAGCCTAATGAGTGCTTAGTAGGAATTTAGTGTCAGACTTTAGTATTGTCGTATTTAGTTTTAACAATACTTAATATGTGAATAGTTTGATCTGCTAATATATGGGATGAGATTTTTATAACTTCCCTGTAACCTGTTTAAAGTTCAAACGACCCTTGTGCCTACCTGGATACTTTTAGTCTATATATATAATGAAAAAAACTGTTAGCTTGTCTGATTACGTAACCAATCGTGTGAACGATGAACTCGCTAAACTAGGAGAGTAACATTATATGTGAAAATTATATTTGAAATAATCTCAGCGATTGAAATATAATTTTCACATATAATAACTTCTCTAAACCCGGCGCCCAATTTCATTCTAATCTTGACGAATATTCGTATAGGAGAGTAACAGCTTAAGCTAAAAATTATTTTTATTACCACCTACTGTTAAACGCACTTTTGATTTTTTCAGAATGAACAATATCTAAGTAAATTCCCCCCAAATAACTACTTCACACCCAAAATTGAAGGAGCTCAATACTTACTAATTTGTTTTAGAAAATTATGAAGGATAAAAATTGTTCATCTCACTGTCGTTGTATATGCCAATCCGATACTGACGTCAACAGTAAGAATGGTACAGTTACTAACGGTAAAACGCTGCTAGCTACAAACGATACGTTTGTTAAATTGAAACCAAATACTATAACAGATATCTACATAAATTGTATGTTATTAACATGTATTTTAATCACTATCTTTGTATTTTCTCGACCATTCACAGAACATTTTATAATACGTTTAGTATTTGGTGAATCTTTAAATTATTGTAATTATACATACATACCTTCAAAATATAACTATCGTCGACCATATAAAATTTACAATTAACACTACTATTACTAATATATATTTTTTCTAATTAGCAATAATGTCGTTAGTATTTTTGTTTTTGCATTTCGATGCCTTTCTTCCTAAACTTTATTCACATCTTCCTATTTCAATTCACTTGTTTCTGGTAATGTAATAAAGCCTTAATATTATAGAAGAGTAATCTATGCATATTTTTGTATTTTCTTTCAAAACTATA